CTCCCTACTCACCTGATCTGGCCCCCAATGACTCTTTCTTTACACAAAGATAAAGGAAATACTGAAAGGAAGACATTTTGATGACATTCAAGACATCAAGGGTAATACGACGACAGCTCTGATGGCCATTCCAGAAAAAGAGTTCCAAAGTTGCTTTGAAGGGTGGACTAGGCGCTGGCATCGGCGCATAGCTTCCCAATGAGAGTACTTCGAAGGTGACTGTAGTGATATTCAGCAGTGAGGTATGTAGCACTTTTTCTAGGATGAGTTCACAAATTTAATTGTCCGACCTCATATATGCACATACAGAGGGTGCCAAAAAATGTATACACATTAAGAAAGGAAAAAACTGTATTAAATTTGTAATGCTCAAAATATACCAGTAACAAAGATGAATATAAGTCACATTCAACTTCTGTAATTACAAGAGGTGCTCAAAGTGGTTACCATTAGTGTCCAGATACTTTTTTTCCCCCAGACACTTTTGATTACAGGGAACTACTGCTTGAGCAACGTTGACCAAAGTATCCACTTGTATACATTTATTTGGCACCCTCTGTATACACACACACACACACACACACACACACACACACACTTCTTTATCCATTCATCTATTGATGGACACCTAGGTTGCTTCCATACCTTGACTATTACTAGTAATGTTGCAATAAACATAGCGGTGCCTGTATCTTTTAGAGTTAGTGTTTCTGTGTTCTTCTTGCCATTTTTGACAACGTGGATCCAGAGGGTATTATGCTAAGTGAGATAAATCAGACAGACAAAGACAAATACTGCATGGTTTCACTTATATGTGGAATCTAGAAAAACAAAACATAGAAACAGACCCATAGATATAGAGAACAAGCTGATGGTTGCCAAAGGGGAGGGTGGGGTCTGGAGATGGGATAAACCAACAAATAAATATGTTGCTTATTTTAAAAGGCTAGGCAATTTCAGAGACAGGAGAAAACAGGAGGATCGGGTTGGAGAAAGAATATGAACACAGTGTTAGACTAAAAGGTCTACAGGTGACAGCAACGAAAAGTGGCATAAACAGGTGGCCCGGGCTTCAAGGATTCCGAGGATATGAAAGCAGCAACAGACACCAGACAGGTGAGGGACAGTCATGGTAGAGTTTTAAGATTTTTTTTTTTTCCTTTTCTAGGTAAAAGTACAAGTTGGCAATTCTATGGCTGGTCTGAAAAAAATGGGGAAGAGGTTGCTGGTGTGGTGGGTTTACTAGTCCACGATAGCCAAAAATCTGTGGGGTCATGGATACAGTCCAACTTCCTCATTTTTGAGGTTAGGGAACAGAGGGTACCAATGTCACACCACAGCAGCTGAGCTGGGACTCCGATTTCTGCTTCCCAGGCACCAAGCTTGTGCCTGCTGCTGTCAGGAAGACAGACTGCAGAAGCTAATTTGTGTTAGGAGGCCACTTTGACTCCCCACCCCCTACCTGGCTTCTGGCAAGCACAAAAGGCAAAAATTCCCCAATTGGCCCAACTAGTAAGTCACGTTGCCAAAATCTGAAAACAGACCTAACAGTATCCTCCCATCCCAGGCTCCCCAAAGTTTTATTCCTTAGATGGGCACTGAAAGTCCTTTATATTTTAGCCCTAACTTCCGGTATCTTACTTTGCCATCCTCATGGTACCCTACAGCCAATATGAGCTACTCAGGGAGCTTACCCTCAAAAATGCCTGTCATGTTTCTCTTTCTGCGCCTGTGCTCATAATACTCACTCTACATCTTGTCCCAGCATCTCTTATTGGAATCTTTCCTATAGCTTTGCAAGCAAAGGTAGCAAACTCAAATGCCTTCAGGAAGCAAACAGGTAGAAGCAAGCTTCTACTTCACTAAGCTGGGTTGGGTCCAATACAACAGCCCTGACCCGCCTAGACATTAGACTCTAGATCAAACGCCCCGGACTCCAGGTGACTCCTACCTGGTGGGTCACCTCCCCCAACCCTATCAACCGCAGGTGCTTACCTTGGCCACCTCCCAAGCGTCCACGGGCCAGAGGCCCGGCCGGCAGTTTCCCCAGTGGATGTCTCCATTTCTGTTGGTGTGATGTTTCAAAATTTCCTGTTTCCACTCTGCGCACACCTGACACTGAGGCTGAAACTATAGGGGGCAGCGGTGAGGAGGGGCCGGGAGGGAGGGGTTAGCGTCTGGGCATTCGAGCCCCGGGCATTGCAGTCGGCCCTGCACCAGGGAGGGCATGGCATACTGCGCTCGGGACAGGGATGGGGGCGGGAGGAGGTGGTCAAGTGTTCACCTGGCGGGCGCGCGGGCTGCACCGCGAGCCGCTGCGGCAGGTGGCGCGGGGACCCAGGCCCGGGGCGGCGGCAAGCAGGCCGCGGTGGAAGGCCAACACTTCGCGACCGACGAAGCCCTGCAGGCAGCCACGCAGCAGCAGCAGGCAATGGCCCGCCTTCACCCAGTTCTTGTACTCGGCGCAGTTGAGCCGCGCGGCCAGCTCGGAAAGCACCATGTCCAGCATGGGCCCTGGAAGCCACAGGGCGAGGGGCGGGGCTGATGGCAGTGCGCAAGCGCAAAAACCTGGGTGGTGCCGGAAGCAGCGCGGCCCGGCCCCGCCCTGAGACGGCTCCCAAGTGGGCACTGGCGGCAGAGCCTCGAACCGTCGCGGGGCGTTCTGGTTTTCCGGGCACGTTGGCCCCACCCTAGTCTTCGTTAACAGCAGACGTTTAAGTACTTTGTCAGGTATATGCCCAGAAAGCCTCTACCTTAAACTGTTACGCCCTTTTCTGTTCCCCCAAACTGAGACCCCGCCAGCCCCGAATTCGACTCCCTCCGGGTGTCCGTGCTTGTTTTTGTTTATTGCAGGGATGTAGGTGTTCAAGGCACACTTTTTGAATCACGTATGTTCCTCGCATTACACAATTCTAGTGAATTACCTGGTTCCTAAGCCCACCGATTGGCTGTAGTAAATCGGGGCCAGGAGTGAAATGTGAGTTGATGGCCTGTACCACGCACCTATTATGTGTTTGCGGTGTGCCAAGGTGACACAAAGCTCAAAAACATTGGGCCACCTAGCAGAGGCAAACGGGAAGACACATCACCTGGACTCTGGAAGGCTGCACCGCCCAGAGCCGGATAAGGGCTTCTACTATGGTCCTGAAGCATTGACCCTAGACAATTCTTTAGTACTCTTGGTTATGTAATTAGTGCGCATTGCATTTAAGACAGTCTGAGTTAGGTTCCGAATTATTGTGCACGAGGGTCAGAAGGCAATGGATTGTCAACTTCAAACGACAAGTGGTCATCTCAGTTTTAGTTGCTTAGTGAGCTTCTTGAGCTTGGAAAACATGTTAAAATTGTGTGTAATCAGAAGGCTGAGAGGAGATTGAAGCCTCCCCCCGACTTCGTGGTTCACAGCAAAGTGGCAGTGTTTAGAACTAGGTCTGGACACAAACTGCCCCTTCTTAGCTGTTTGATCTTAAGCAATCTTAAATTTGATCTCAGCAAATTACTTTATTTCTCTGGGCCTCAGTTTACTCATCTGTAAAAGGAGGATATTAATACCTACCCCATTTGGATTGTTGTGAGGATTGAAATACTTAGAACAGTGCCTGGCAATAGTAAGCTCTCAGTAAATATTAGCTATTATTTTATATTGACCTATATGTACCCTTTCATCAGTCAGTCATATTCCTGGGCAAGGTATTTTAACAAATCACACCACTTGGAGGTGGAGGCAATTTGTAGAAAATGGTGAGCAGATGATGGTCTCCTGGAGTTGTGCAGCACAATTCTGGTTGGCTTCTGCTGATTTTTTCTGAACAACCTCAATATTAAATCTACCTAAATAAATTTAAAATCATCCCCTTAGACATATTATCAATTCCCATCAAACCAAATAAAAAATAAAATTCCACAAGAAACCATGAAACATTTTCCCATTCTGTCCCTTAAGTTCCCCGAATATTAAGTTTTCTTAAAAATTTTGGTATATTGATTTTATATCAAGAATACTTGGGTGATAAATATTAAAGCAAAATGTAATAGGTATTTCTTTGGGGGAAAAATCATGAGAGAAACAACTTTTTATGCTGAAATTGGATCTGAATTTAGAGTAGCAAAATTATACTTCCTGCAGTTATCAAATTAACCACAGTCCAAAGAATGACTAACAAACCATTAGTATCCTGTGGCTGAACAGGTTACTACTGTGTTAACTGCAACACAGTCAAGTTATTAGTGGTATTTAAATTCAAAACAATGTATATTTTAGTTTACAATGCACTTAGTTCACTCAGTTAATTTTCAAATATAAGGTTCAGCTTGTTATTAATAACTTGATACGTTCTATTGAAGTTTTCACTTTTTTCCTCTCTAATTCTCAAAGTACGTCTATACATTCTGAAATGGCATTTCAGCAGATACAAAAAAGGTGGCAAATCAGGACCAATTTCTTCTTTCAGGGTGAAACTAATACTAAACCATACTACTATGAAAACCATCTTCATGAAAATCAACTAGAGAGAGTTGGTAGTTCTCTGAAACGTGTGTAAGTTTTATTTATTACTAAAATTACTAAAATCACATTGAAAACACCTTGAAGTTAAGACCCAAACCACCTACTATGAAAAATCTCTATGGGCATCCAGTCCCTTCGAAACTGGGTAACAAAAGAGGCAAAAGACATGGTTTGTGATGAAGCCTAAGATTCGAATGCTAGCGTTTTCAAGCTTTAATAAAGTATACCAATTCCAAGTACCAAGCATGATATCAAAATTCAAATTCATGGGCATATTCTTAATAATCATCAAAAGCAAATTTGTTCACTGAATCCTATCTTACTTTTGTTTGCACAATGCACTCAGAGACAAGTTATAATTAGGAAAAAAATGTCTACTGAATACATCATGTTTAAAAATGCAATTAACATTTCAAAACCAACAACACTTAAAAAGGGAAATATCTGAAAAGTTAACTCTATTAATAAAATTATTTGAGACAATATTATCCTGCAGATAAAAATACATTTGTTGTATATACATGTAGATTTCTACATGAAAGAATGGATTCCACTCCAAACAGAAAAGGACTGACCCTTGATAAAGACATCTTAGACTGCTGAACCGATGTGATTACCACTGTAAGGAGAACTGGAAGCGGAAGGATACAAGTTAAAGGAAAGATAAAAGTTTAGTCACCTGCTCCTGAATAGTGGCAGAATTGGGCAAGAAGCAGGAGATGAAGGCAGAAATAAGACACAGAAGAAAGGCAAAGAAAGCCTCAACTCTGACCAGAAATGAATAGAGAATCAAGCAAAGTTGAGAACAAATATGATATAGCCACAGTGAGATGCTTGAAACTAGAACTTGGTAGTTGATAGTTACAGAAGCTCAATCAAATCATCTTAAAGTACAATTAGACAAAGTGTCTAAAATTTAATGGAGAACCAATATTATACTGACCAGATAACTCAGCATGGTATTATCATTTAAAAAACTTTCCCAAATAACATTAAGTCACCAGAAGACCTCTGCTTCTGATCATGTTTTTTGAAGCTTATCAAAGTCCCTGACTGACTGGGAGAGACAGCAAAGTGCTCCAAAAGGCAACTCTGCTGAGATGTGTTAGTACCAGAAACTCCATTTGACCTTGGACAGGCCCTGGATCTTGGGTTCTTCAAAGTGAGGGGACTGGACCAGGTTTCTTCCAAGCAAAACATTTTATCGTTTTGTTGACAATGAATTAAACTGGGATTGTTTAGAAAAACCGTAATTTTTGTGGGGAAGGTAAGGGGGAGAAGTGAAGCAAGATAAGGAAACATCACAGAAACTTCATGCAAGGGCAGAACATTCAAGTTCTGTTTCCTAATTAATGCTGTATGCAGAAGTATCCTGTAAACTAAATTTGCCTAACAGAAAAGTTACCACATACTCAACAGATCAGAATGGTTGCAGTATTTGGGATCCTCGATTAACATGAAGTACTCACTGTCTCTTCCCAAAGACTGGGTTCCTTCTCTTTTACTCAAATCCTAAACTGAAAGACAACCAAGGTGCTAAACGTTTACCACCAGTCGATTTAGGAATGTTTGAAGAAAATAAACTTGAAATGAAGAAGCAGATGTTATCGGTCAAATTTCAGACATGTACTGTTAGAAATTAATTATTGGCCCCACCAGGTTAAAGATGAAGGGAGGCTCTGAGAAGTCTATAGAGCTGACATACACACAAGTGAGTGTCACTGTTTTTTTTAACCTAGTTTTATTAAATATTGCTTCTTTGGGATGTGTTTATAACAACTCCCAGAACATTTTCATGTAAGGATCCAAAGCGGTCATATTAAAATACAGCTTCAATATAAAGTTTATCACAGTTTTACAGTATTCAAAAATGACAGACCTGCCTTAAAAAACAAAACAAAAACCGAAAAGGACTATTACACCCAAAACATAAGAAAACAATTAAATAAACAAGTTTGGCATTTCCGTAACTTTATAGTATAAAACAGAATATTAAATCTATTACTGGCAAGCGGACACGGATGTGTCCTATTTCCTATTTTGAAATGTGTCCCATTTAAACACACTATACATGTTCACTATACAAAAGATTGATGGTCTTTTTTTTGATGAAAGAAGTGCACCCTGAAAGTTTATGCCAGTTTAGAATATTTAGCTCTTAAGTCAAAAAAGTCCTTTTTCTTTTTTTAAACTGAAGGCTGAATTCAGATTTTTTTTTTGTTGTTTTGTCTCATTTGTCAGCCTTCCTGGTTTAAAAACAATAGTGTCTATGGACGCCCACCAGGGGGCAGTGTAAGATTAGCCATTAAATCACCAACAGCTGCAAATATTGTGCATTCACCTGCAACAGAGAAAAATGGTCATTAGCTATTCGCAATACAGGAAAGATGATGTTAACACACCGGTGGGGGTAGGGGTAATTAAATCTAAACTTAGCAAGAACTTTAAAGATCAAAATAAAAGAGTAAATTTTAACTGCACAGGTTATAGGGGATTAAGCTTTGGTGCTAAGTATCAGATGATAATTTGGTTTGGGTTTTTTTTTTTTCCCCTCATGAGGAAATTTTGGGTAAGCCCAAAATTTAGGTCTGAATTAAAAAGCTATGCCTAGAATTTCAATATAGGAGCACTGGGTAAGCCTTTGAAGTTGGGCTTCAAGGCTATTGACAACTGGCTTATGCATTTTGAATCTAATGAAAAGATCTACGTAGTTTATATTTATGCATTAGTTATAACATCAATGGTGTCCTTCTAATGTTACATTAAAGATCAGATAGAATCTCTGTGACAGCACTGTCCAACAGAACTTACTGTGATGATGGAAATCCTCTATACGTGCGCTGTGGCTACCAAGTACTTGTAGCTAGAGTGTGACTGAGGAACTGAAAAGTTCAATAGTATTTAATGTTAATTAACTTAAATCTAAAGAGCCACATGTGGCCAGTGACAGTTATATTGGACAGTACAGTTCTATGACATCTACTGGACTTTTCTCCCAAATTTTAAGGAAATGATCAACTTCTGGAGT